TAAACTCTTCAAATAATAATAAAAAACGCTGCCTTTTTAAGCCAATATAATACTTACTTCTTTTCGTCCGCAACATATTTTGTTGAAACAAATTACTTAAAAACTTTTAAAACGATGCCGATACCGCGATTTGATAGAACCGCCATTTTGTTGTTCTCCTCCAGATGGCAGCCAGGCGCGAGGGGCGGACCGTTGACTTTGGGGGCCCTGAGCTAAAGCTCTTTGGGGGCCTATCAATAATTATATTTGTATTTATAACAAAATAACAAATTCTTCGTTAAAAATAAAAAACAAGAAAAAAACAACACTTATTCTTGATAAAATAAATGAATAACATAAATAAAATAAATAAAAGATTCTAGGATTTATACAAGGTGTCCCGGTACAATGCAAGGCCACATGCATATTTCTTAAAAATAATTCGACTTAATTAAGTCGGTTAACCGAACTTACCTAAATAAAAATTGCTTTGTTTAGCTGCTGGCGACCTTTAAAATATGTAAAAAGATTATTTTATACTGCAGAATATTATATTACTCTGATTTACAAATATCCACTATTTTTTTTTTCTATAAAATTGAATATATGAGCCTATAGCCTCATGAGCCTGTTAAAATATCACCCCTTAATATTATTGGTTGCGAATCGCGACTTTACATTTAAATTAAGTAGGTAGGTGAGATTTTTTTTTTTGAAATTATATAACTCCTTAACGGATTAAGGGACTAAAATGATTAGAACTTTATTTGTATGATAAATTTACTCGTTAAAAACTTATTTAATACTTAAGTCAAATTCATAGCAAATTTTAAGTTTTTCTTACTTTCCCGGTAAAACCATTAGACTTGTTACAAAATGTTGACAATGATCACACATATTATGTAGATAATTTTATTTTCTATAAAAATACAATACCAACTTCCTTATTATTTTGTTTGCATTTTTACAAAGTATATATAATAATAATAATAATAATAATAATAATAATAATAATAGTCTTTATTGCAATATCATAAATAGCTTACAAACACATTAATGTAAATATTTTTAGAAACATTGCAAAAGGCGAAGTTCGGTTGGACACACGAGGTGAACTCCCGTTCTTCCACTTAACCTTATAACTATATAAGTACCTAAATTATTATAATACTCCTAACAAAAAAGTATAATACTTCTAACAAAAAAATAAAAAATAAAAATATATTTATAAGTGAACAGAATAAGAATATCTAACTACACCTAATAGACAAGAATACAAAATAAAGATTTCATTACATTAATTTTATATAGGGATTAATTATTATAATCAAGAATAAAAATAATTAGTTAATTTATTTGATATGTAGGTATTAGAAATGTTGTAAAACTATATTTTTTACATGTTTTTTAAATATTGATGGTGATAAACTCATAAGTTGCTGTGGGACTAAATTTAATAAAGAATAGATAGAATACGAGAAAGATCTCTTAAAAAATGCTGTTTTATGTCTGGGAGGAGAAATGCGATTTTTATGTCTAGTATTCAATACATGTATGTCCGTACCAAAAGTAATTTTGCTGTACAGGTAGGGGGGACATTTCGAATTAATAATTCTATAGTAAAGCATTAGGCAATGGAGAGTTCTCCTTTGTTTCATATTTAGCCAACCCAATTGGGACATATTTGCTGAAATGCCCCTTTGTCTTTTTCTTATTCCGCATATGAGACGTAGGTATACATGAATTTTGTAAAAGCTGTATTCTGTCAGAATCTTGTTTAGAAAGGCAGGAATTAATTACTGTATCCCCATGATTAAAAGAAGACAGCACAAGAGAATCACATAACATTTTTTTAAGTTCCTTGCTCAATACGTCTTTATGTGAGAATATAAGCTTTAATTTAAAAAATGCTTTCTTAATACAGCTGCTAACATGATTTGAGAATCTAAGCTCGCAATCCAATTCCAGACCTAAATTTCTGGTAGTATTAACACAAGGTAAGCTTGTATTACCTATTTTAATATCTAAATATCTTGCGTAACGTTCTCGGGTTAACTTCTTACCAAAAAACATAAGTTTACTCTTATTAGGATTCAACTCAAGACAGTATTTTATCGATTCAAGCAAAAGAGCATTTAAATCGTCATTAATTTGAATATTGGCATCTTGAATAACTTCCGGGCAAAATGATTTATACACCTGCGTGTCATCTGCATATAAATGGTAATTTGAATTTCTTATGGATTTTACTAATTCACTTGTATAAATTGTAAACAATAATGGTCCCAAAATGGAACCCTGAGGAACACCGCAGATGATATCGCCTAGCGTAGAAATCTCATTACCAAGTTTGACCAACTGTTTACGATTTTTTAAATAACATTCTAATAGTCTTGTCGCTCCCATATCAAACCCTATATAATGTAGCATAGACAAAAGCAGACCATGATTAACTCTATCAAAAGCCTTAGAAAAATCCAATAATATTAAAGCTGTTAATTTGTTTTGATCAGTATTAAGTAGGATGTCATCCAAAACCTTTAAGAGAGCAGTTGAACAACCATAGAATCTTCTAAACCCTGACTGCAATTCAGGTAATATGTGATATCTATCCAAATGCTCCTTTATCTGTTTATAAATGATTTTTTCGAAAACTTTTGATAATGTTGGCAGTATACTTATGGGACGCAAATCCTTAAAATCTCTGGGCTCGGCAACCTTGGGTAAAGGCATTACAACTGAATACTTCCAGATATCCGGAAATACACTATTCTCAAAACAAAAATTATATAAATGAGTAATAATGGGAAGAATTTTAGGGCAACAAAATATAACAGCATCCAACCCAATTTCATCAAAACCAACAGCTCTGGATTTAATTTTCATTATTATGTTAGCGATTTCTTGTTCATTAGTTAGTCTAAATTTAAATTCTCCAACATTATCTTTTTTATTATTCCAAAAACTGTTGATTAAGTCTTCATCGGGGGATGGGTTATTTTTCATTATATTTAGATAATAATTATTTATATTTTCTACATTACTTAAATGTTTGGGAACAGTATTTTCGCTTTTGCTACTTATGTCCATTTTTCTTAGAATTTGCCAATTTTTCTTTGAATTATTTTTAGTAATGTTGCAACTTAAAAATGCCTTCTTCTCATTCTTGACAGCTTGATTAGTGAAATTTCTTAATTCTTTGTAGTTTTCCCAATCTACAGGCAACTTACTTTTTTTATATTTCTGTAACGCTTTGTCGCGCAACTTCATAAGAAAACGTATATTGTATATATATATACTTTGTAAATTTACTTTGTATATTTATATATTAACTAATTTTATCTATAATTTAAACTTTATTATTGCCAACCCTCACTACCAAAGTATTCGATTATCTCCTAGGGTGTAAAAATAATTTAGACCAATCAGGTGAAGTGTTTTACACCCTACTCTGTAAAAGACCCGTTATGACCAATAAAAAAATTCGATAACTACTGACAGCTCTGAGCTATCCAACTTCACTTCATACTTCTACTATTTGTTATTAATAATTATTATGTATCGTTTAACAAATAAAGCTGTGCCTTGGAAATAAAATGTAGTACGTCATTCGGCTGAGACGTGTCTTTTTATGCTTTGTTCAATTGTAAACTTTGCACACTTTGCAGCACAAAAAGACCCACTTCTAAGCCTTATGACATAAATAACTATTCTTCAAATGTAGACAGTTGCTAAAAGTTAAAAATAACCAAGAAAAAATATTATTTTTTATATCAGAGGGTGTCTTTTTTTATTATAAACTAAGCTACGAGTTAGTATTATAATAATTTTATAATCAAAAGTGGCCCACCAATGTATTTGAATTTGCCCGCCACGTGATTAATTTTAAAATTCATCAAGTCATAAAATCGAGTTGGTTTGTTTGTAACTAGCAATTTTTACTCACTCTGTTAATTTCTGAAAGAATGTTTCTTTTTAGAAGAAGAATGAAGTCAACATTTTAAAAAATATATATATTTTTTATTTAATTTTTAATTTAAATTAAAAGAGCTTTAGAATGTAGATTTTTTTAAATAAACCATATAAATGTTTCTAAGATTTTATTTAATATTCCAGCAATATTTTAGGTAATATTTTTTAACACCACAAAAAAAAATATTTTAATTTTAATAAGCCTGAAACATATCAAAAATATTTCAACACCATTTTGCAATAGCAATGAAATATTTCCAGGTAATATTTCTGAAACATAACAAATAAATGTTTCCAAGGTCGTACATTTTAAGTCTGAAACATATCAGATATTTCAGCAACATTTTGCAATACCACTGCAATATTTCTAATGTTGCAATATTATATCTAAGAAACATTTCTGACATATTTCTGTGCTGTGTGGGTAGCGAATTAAAAATATGTGTTTAGCAAAAAATACAAATATAAGAAGCAAATATTTTAAATTAACTAAATAAAAAATATAAATTTGGAATAAAAATTAAATCTAATTTAAAAATAACTGCTATATTATTAATTCGCAGAATAAAAAATCTTATGTGATATTTTTTATCTAATTGAAAATATCAGTGTTAACACATAAAAATAATTCCTGAATAAAAAAAAATGGCGCGCCGCGGCGCCACATATTAAAGCAAATAAATTTTAATGTTTCTTTAAAAAATACAAGGCAACACCATTTATTTTATATTAAGGCTCATAGGTAAAATTATGCCCTTAAGTAGAATCTGTTCTGGGGCAAACGATTTAAATTTAGATTTGTTCTATTGTTTTGACTGTCTTTCAAAAAAACATAAAAGTAAACTTATAAATAAGTAATTTATTGTAATTTGTAAATAGTTGATCTGTTAATAAAATTATTATTATCCAATTTACAGTATAAAAGGAGTTGGTAAAAATACATGGTCATGTTAACAAAATTATACTTTGGTTTCACAAACTTTTGGATTTTCGAACACAAGATTTAAGAAAAAACCTTAATTTAAATAAATAATAATAAAAAGACGATATGACTTAAATAGTATATTTATAAACTTGTTTACATAAATAAAATGCATGGTAATAATTAAAAATACTTATGTATCTACACATTTCGTCGATTTATGGTGCAACCTTTAAAAAATTCAAGATATTACTCCCTTTTGGTACAAAATCAATAAAAAAGCTACCACATAATTAAAAAATGTCAATACAAGTAAAGAATACAAAATAATTTATAATAGGCAGATTGGAGCCAGCCAATTAATCCGAGTTTTACAAGTTTTACACCTTAAACCAACGATTTTACATTTATATCAAAAAATAAGAATATATTGGGTTAACCCATCCAATTCTTACTATTTGTTTTATAGTGCACGCAACAGTAGTTCAATTATTTTAAAATAAAAAAGAGTACTTCAATACCCCAGTACAAAAAAATAATACTATTACACCATACTAATTATTATTTTCTGCTTTTTTGATATATTAATGATATTTTATGGTTGACTTAATCATGTTTGTTTGTAGGATCTTCAAAATGACATTCATTCTAAAAAGAAAAATTAAATCACAATTTAAATAAAAACTGTGTAGTAATAAGAACAAGAATAAATATATTTACTTAAACTGACTAAACTCAACAAAATGTGTTTTGGGCCGTCCATAAATCTCGTGACGAAATATGTATATATATATATATATGTATAGAGAACAAAAAAACAAAAACAAGTTTTAAAATTGGTCAAAATAAAGCTATTCGGTCGTGACTCACTTGTGAGTCAGGGGGAAGCAATTGCACCCATTTCCCCCTGTATCTGCGCCTGGTCACGTGACGTTTTTAAAAAACACCTTCTCCTTTCCAGCGTCGCAAGATTTATGGACGGCCCCTTTTTCTAAATACCAGGGTTGGAATAAGTTAATTTAGTAATTTAATTCGTAAATTAAATCATGTGACTTTTTTCAAAAAAGCCATAAATTAATTTAAATTTGTAAGACATTGACTTTGTGTTTAATATTTTATTAAATTAAAAAAAGTTAATTAACTAATAATTTAACAAAAAATCTGTTTTTCATACACTAAAACTAATTTGTTAGGGAGTAAAGCAATAATCAAATTAAATAAAAAATATATTTAGTAATTATGAATGAAATTAACCTACTTTCTTTGACTTTTGCAGGGGCGCCTAAATTTTGTTTTGTCACTGTTATAAACCATTCATTTTTATAATTTTTTAGAGTACAAAAATATCCTGCAAATCTTATTTATCAAATCACAAATTAATCTTATTGTCGGTAAAAAAGAACGTCCCAGCTGGGGCACATTTTCATTCATAAAGCAAAATTTTAATTTAAAGAAATACATCCCCCATACTATTTTGTAATTTTATTTCAATTCAAATTTTGGATTACAAAAAATTAACCTACCTTTAAAACAGAATACTATTCTATTTTATAAATTAGACACCCTTTAATAAAACACTTTTAAATTTTGGTTTTGATATCTTTTATAAAAAATAATACACATATTTTTTTGCGAAATTTTATTTAAAATCATACTTTTAAAAACTGTTTAAAGCTTTTATTAAGGAAATGCGTGTTGTATATATATATTAATATTTTTAACTTAACAAATAGGTACCTTACAGCTAATATGGATATCAGTCTCATTATAATTTATTATTCGATAAATATAAATCAATTTAATGAACTTTGCACATATATTGCAAACTATATTCAATGTCTTTTAAAACAAAAAATGTAATATAAAATGTGGTAGCAACATTTTCATCAAATAAATATATTTAATAAAGGGGGAGTTCAAGTATTACATAAGAAGGGTTTATTTCTTTTGTTGACAAATGGGATTATAATTCTAACGTAAAATAAAAAAAATACAAAATAATGAAAATGTTTTTAAAACAATATTTAAACCGATTTAACGAATTTAATTCTGGATTGTGAAGATGAGCTACAAATTGTTAATGATGTAGAAACTTGAAAACAGAGACTGTGGAAAATAAATTGTTGTTAAGTTTCTGATTTTATAAAAAAAGGATTTTTATCCTAAATATAATAAAGTGTTTTAAATTTAAATTTTGATATTTAATAAAAGGTAAAAAAAATTCTGGTCTAAAATCATGAAAGTTTGCTTACCTTATACTTAAACGCCCCCAAATCCACTTTTTGTATAATTTAATATTGTAATTAGGATTGTACTTTGGCACTTCAAGTATAGTCATTGACAAAAGCAAGAATCCAATTGTACTGTCAGTTAGATTAGTTAATAAGTTTCGGAATGGCGAAAAATGTGATAAACAATGATACAGTAACTTTTAAAACAGTTAGTGCGGCATACCAGAATCTGGGCGTTTGGCTCTCCGGACCGCAAGGCGTTATTAACGAACCCACGCGAACAAGTGCCGATCTAACTTTCTCTTTATTTACCTCACGGTTCAGCAGTTGACCGCTCAGGCGCTGGCTCATCACCCTGTATTTTAGGCGCATGCGTTCTCGGAACTTGCTGGGTATGACGAATATCGTGGTCGCGGTGTTGCCGACAAACAGGACGAAAAACATCAGACTCAAAACGGGCACCTGAAACAAAGCACGATTATATAAACACGTCTTGAACTATTTTTTATTTTTAACACTTACATGCCATGTAGTGGTTTCTTGGTGTTGGATATAGATGTTGTAGAGGTCATAGGAAATGTACAGTTGGAAAATGTAACCGGCAAAAAGAAATGGCAAAAGGAAACTCAAACCTCTCCACATCCAGGAGTGGAAACCTTCAATAGTGATGTCCATGTTATGTCTCTCGCCAAGGGCTTTTAATCTATACAAAACACCTCTTTGGTACCTAAATTGAAGATACTGAACGGTGCCTAAAAGAAAAAAATCAATTGATACCTTTTTTGTATGCCTTGTTATTATTTTCTTCTTTGACAGGGATGAGTGTAGATTAATGTTTACTTTATTAAATGATGTGATTCCCAAGTATTTTACATTAGATTTTGGCCCAACTAGGATATTGTACTATGCTTTACACCCACTTTAATATTGGAATACAAATTAATTAATAAATTAATTGAGTTTATCTATCTTTCAGTATAACGTTATTTCGTCTTATATTCTGAACATACAATATATCGCACATGGGCGACAACAGTGTCATAAGTCGAAAAAATTGAATTTTGGGGTTTTTAGTGCTATAAGAGTAAAATTACTCATAGTTTATGCTGAAACAGTGGCAAAAAGATATTTTTGAAATTAATCTCTAGATGGAGACTTGTGACTGTTTGCAATTTGTACAATCCCTATCATAATTTTCATCAACAGTGTCATAAGTAAGTTGGCTGTAAGTTGTGACAGTAATTTTGTTAGCGTGGGTTAGTAAAATTAAAGTTGTCAACAATAAAATAATAAATAAGTGACGCTCCTCACCTTAAGGCAAACGTCTCGTTTAACGCGTTTGTATATACCGCTGTCGTTGTTCAAATGCAATTAAAGAGTAAATAACATTCCAAAATAATCCCACAAAAACGTATAATTTTAAAAATTTTAAAAAATCACGATTTGGAGGAGTTTACTGCGCAGTATAATCTACCGATTTTAATTCGTAGCCGACATTCAATTGTTTGTTGCTCCAATCCACATGTTTTGGCTGACAGTGTCAGCCTGACACGCTCACCGATATCTCTATTTTCTCATCTAAATAGTAAGTTGGCGTGATTGAAAAAAATTGCAAATTTGTAATAAGTACAGGGTGATCCTCTATAATGTCGCCCCCTTTAACTTTTTTATTTTAAGTGTCCCAAAAAATTTAAAAGTGTGGTCATGTAGGTACTAAAAAATACTTTTTTTCTACCGTTAAAGAAAATTGGAAAATTGATCAGTATACAGGGAAAAACAGAAAGTTTATTTTTTCAATGGATCGATCGATTCCTTGTAAAATTCTAAGCATATTTCATATAACATAACATATACCTAAATTCAACCGTTTCTGAAATATTTAAATTATTTTTAAGATAATAAGTTGAAATAGTTTGTCTTTCTCTGTCTGAGTACGCCATTTTTACTTATTTAACAAGACATATTGACATAATGTCACTATAGTAATTTATTTTTAATAAAAATTTTGGTACCTACAGGGTGTTTCTTTTAACTTGAGACAACTCAATATCTCGAGAAATACGCATTTCACGAAAAAATGTTTTAAATAAAAGGTTAGGTCGTTATAAATTTAAGTTAAATTATTTGACGTTATAACAACATACAATTACTACAAAAAACACTTTTAACGTAAAAACAATTATAATTAGGATAACTGCAATGATAAAAAGGAATTATAAGCTTTTGATCAAATAAAATATTGTTTTAAAACTTGGTAGCAATCACAATCTACATTGTGGATTGTGGTAGCAATCACCACGAAACTGTTTAGAGCGGGAATAACGCCTTGATAGATCAAGGCGGGAGCACAATATTATCGTAAGCGACACAATGTTAAATCGCAAACGCCATGTCTCGGAGTTGCTTAGGATTATTTGTCACGAAAAAAAAGGCACTTACGTTATAAATCGGTAACAAATTAAAAAGAAGAGGCGTTTACAATAATAAAAATATTCAAACTGACCAATATTAGATTCCAAAATTGGAATAACTATTATGTTAACATGTGCAGCTTATCGTAACTGACACTTTGATAAAATAAAAAGTAATTCAACAAAATTGTCGCTTACGATGTTTTGTCAAATAACCATCGATATTATTTGAGTTTTAGTTTATTTAAATTTATTCATAAGATCTCAATGGTTAGACCTATTTTATAATATAATATAAAATTTATATACATATAAATGCAATCAAATCGTACGTAAAAATTTATCAAATATTTATTATCAAAAACATATTTTGTTTTTAATTTTAAATTAGGAATAAAAAACGCAATATTTTGCCAATACGCCGAATTTTTAGAAAATCATTGTTACATAAACATGTAATTTACATGATGTAAATATATGAAGTTCGGACATGATGACCTCTAGTGTGAGCACATTTATAGTTTTTCTCATGAACTTTATTCAATGTGTAAAACGACAGCGATCAACTGAGTTTTGCACGTGCCGTGAAGCAAAAGTATCACGTGAAATTAGTTTTGTAATTTATTTAATTCACGCCGGGTTATCGATAAATAAATTAATTAATATTGCGTTGGTCAGTAAAATATTGTAACATTTGGATTTGTTGCATGGGATTTTTAATAAGTTAAATTATTATTAAAAACAATATGCAAATGCAAATTTCGTATAAAAAAACGAATCTTGTATGCTTGTAGGAATTTTGATATACAAATTTAAAACTTGGTTTTAAAAAAAATAGAAAGATAAAAGACTTACATAATAATATTACGAGGGTGGTTCAAATATAAACCGGAATTTTTTAATAAACGCGCTAAAAATGTAGTATCGTAAAAGTGGCTGCACTGGATGTTAGACTGGTCTGTTACGAAGCGTAGAGAACAGCCGGGACTGCGTAACCTCGCTTTTCAGTGTAGTTATAGCCATGAGCGAGAAGGATGTACCAGTGTCTGTTGCGCAACGCATCATTATTCGTATTTTGGTCAAAGATAATGTAAAATCCGCGGAAATTTATCAAAAATTACTCGAGCAGTTCGGGGATGAGTGCCTCTCCAAGACTCAAGTGTATGAATTGTGTTCCGCTTTGCGAAAAGGCCGAGAAGTGGTGGCAAACTTGCCATATGCGCGGCGCCCCAAACAAGTGTTACAGATGAGAACCTCAGCGCTGTAGAAAAACTCATTTTGGAAGACCGGCGCAGTACTGTACGCAATATGCCTGAAGAATTGGGCATCAGCGTAGGTAGTATTGAGCAAATAATTCATAAACGGCTCGGTTACCGCAAAATTTCAGCCAGATGGGTGCCAAAACTTCTGAATTTTGATCAGAAATTTACACGCTGGGAAGTTTGATGAAAACATTGAACGAATTGGGTTGGGAAACACTGGAACACCCTTCTTATAGTCCCGATTTGTCGCCATGCGACTAGGATTTGTTCGGTCCATTGAAAGAGGCACTTGGCGGACTGCGATTCGAAAGCAATGCGGAGGTAGAATACTTCGTGCGCGAATGGTTACGTGACAAGCCGAGAGATTTTTACGAACAAGGCATCCGAAAGCTTCCGGAGAGGTGGCAAAAGTGTGTAGAGTGTGACGGAGACAATCTAGAAAAATTGTAAAAAATTTCAGCTCTGTAACTTAATAATAAAAAATTTTATAGCAAAATTCCGGTTTATATTTGAACCACCCTCGTATGTTAATATATACATTAACTTATTTGAATAAATATAATGATAACATTTATTTAGGTGTTTTAAAATAAAATCAATGAAACCTTGTAGATTTTTTCGTAAAACTTGTTTTACGAAAATATGCGGAAAATATATAACATGATATAATAAAAAACTACTTACTTATGTAAATGTTAAACAGCATGAACTTGTTCCTAAAGAGGTACCACGTCTCGGTATCCGGCCAAATAAGCAAGATTCCTGCAGCAGCCGTCGATATAAAATGATGTAAGCGCCACCATCCCTTAATTCTTGACCCGTTTACTTTTAAAATACTTTCTCGTATTGTCAGGGTACAATAATACCACACCAGTAAAAATATATAACTTAATTCTAGAGGCCTAAAAAATCAAATTTTAAACTATACAGGGTGTCGGTTTTTTTAAGGCTACACTTGCGGAAATTTTCTCTGCCGTTCTCTGGAATTTCTCTGCCATTGTTTTGTTGTTTACATTTACTCTTTCGTTTCAATGATATACCACTTATACAACTTTTTGGCAGGGAAACAGCAAAGAAACGGCAGAGAAAGATTCCGCAAGTATAAGCATCTTGCTTATAGAGATAAATGGTCAGTTAAATTAGGAAAAAGTTGCACATTTTCATGCTGATCAATGATCTAAACAAAATTAGACTAAATTATTGAGGCACATTTTCAAGGGAAATTTAAATCTTACAAAATCGTTTTGCTAGCTTTTAAAACTGCCGAGATACCCAAGAAGAAATGCGAAATACCTACCCATGTTTAGCCTCGAAAAACGGACATAGTATAGTATATACAAAAGTAAAATAATAAAAAATCTGTGTCTTCCTAATTATTTATAATTTAAAAACAATTGCCAAATCATAATAGAAATAAATTGTTAGCCTTCCATTGTTTTACTTCCTATTTTTGTAAAATTTATTTAAGAAATTTACTAACTATAATTTATATAATTACTATAATTTATATTTAAGAAAGTTAGTTACCTACTTTAAATTATATTTTTAATCATATACAGGGACTCCCTGTCAGGGAGGGTCAAAACTATGAACACTAAACAATTTCTTGTCAAATCAAGAATTTATTAAAAACATTGTTCAACGAGTGATTTGACTATTACAATATTAGTAGAAACACTAAAAATATCATCTAATTGATAATTAATAAGTACCAAGAATGGCGCATACCACGTAACAAATTTTGTTTGTTATTTAAATGTTTTAAAATATAAAAAGATAGTGTCGTTAAAGAATAAAAAGTTAATAGATAAGTCATGGTGATTTTTATGTTTTGATTTTTTGACTTACGCTTTTGGAAAATACATTATATTAACTTGGTTAAACCAAGTTATGCATTGTTTATTTATTTTCTCTACAAATGTTTTTAGATGTATAATATTTTAGCTTAGCCGAGTTTTTCTAACTTAAACGCTTAATAACAAAAAAACTGTAATTATGTTAGTATAAATACTTAAAAGGTATTCCGTTATCGGGTAAAATCGCGTTAGTGCGCCATTTTCGGAAAATCATATATTTTTTTAAATAGGTATTACTTATTAAGTAAGATTTTTAATAAATGTGATAACTATACATGGTCTATTAATATAATTAAAGAAAAATGTTTTTTGGCAACTAATATCTTTGGATTAAATACTGCAAATCAATCCCAAGAGATATTGTAATGTAAAAATAAAGACTTTCAACACAAAATAAAACATACAAAATAATTAAAGAAAAATTTAGTTCATAGTAAAAATGTAAAAAATATATAGGTACTACTTACCTAAATTTCACTGTGTAATTTATAACAGCCAGTAAAAAACAAATTATACTTAAAATTAACTTAAACTTTTCATATTCATCTTTGTACTTAAATCTAAAACAAAAGAAAAATACAGTTAAATGAAATACAGGGTGTATGACAATGGATTGTGGGGTGCACCAAGTATCCTTGTATGTATGGTATCTTTTTTACTTGAAGGTCGGTTTAATTAGAGAAAAGTTGCATAATTAAAAGTCTATTAAGATGGCATTTGAAAATTGGAAAAAAATCTGCACTTATCAAATATATTTGAACGAAGTAATATATAACTTCGTTATTCCTGAGAATTTTAAAAAAGGAATTTAGGTACATTTAAACACATTTATCTACATTTTTATCATTTTTTTTCAATTACTAGATTTTGAGTCAACAACCACCACCTTTTGTTTTTCTTATGGCCACCATATTGGAATTTTCAATGGTTAGATAAAAACATCAAGGAATACAACTTACTAACATAAATTTATGGCGACCATTATAAAAACAAAAGATGGTGATGGTAACTCAAAATATAGCAATTATGTAATTACGCAACTTTTCTCTGATATAACTGACATTGTAGATCTTCAAATGCCTGTAGGTATGACCTTAAATTTAATTTAAAAATTTTAATTATTTTAATTAGAAATAATCCTAAATAAATTATTATTTAATACACCTAAGTTTATACTTATTAAACTGTTGGTGAATTTTCAACTTTTAAAATATCACAGCTTAAAGCTCGGACACGTAAACATAATTTTTGGTCGTAGATTACTAATCCGTGCTTGGTTTAGCTGTACCATGGAAAAATTTAAAGATATTTAATTTTTAAGTTTTGAAGCATCTATTAAGAAACTCTGTATAAATTTAAAAAAAAATTAATTGGGCTTTACCCCACATTGATTCTAAATTTAAAAAAAAACCAATTCAAAAGGAACCCATGTTCCTGAGGGTCTTTTATTTTAGATAACTTATGAAATTAAAAGTTTTTAGCGTTTTTTTTAATAAGGTAAGTACTCAGGTAAGTATAGTTGAGGATAATAATATAAATTAAATGAAATAAAAAGCATAGAAATGCTGGCACAAGAGGTGGAATATATTATTTTACAATTTATAATATAGATACCGGTTATCATTAATAGTTATTCAAAATTTATTTAAAAAAAATTAAATCATAAATATAAATATACATAATAGAAATATAAAACTATACTTAAGATTTATTAGTAATGTAATGTTTAAATTTAGATTTTTTGATAATATTTAAACACATACATTTATGTTTAACCTTAAAGGATAATTTAATCATTTGCATATGTATGTATGCATTGTAAAAATGATGTAAACAGAGTAAGTTTTATTGTAAAGTATTATGTTAAAACTTTATGTTGTTGGAAATAAAAATCATAAAGTAAAATTAAATTTCACTAAATTACTCTTCTAAAAAGGACATGGCACGTGTTATAACCTTGGGTATATAAAAAAACTAAAACCAAAAGTTTATAAGTACCTACATTCTAAAATTATATGATTATACAGTAGTAAATTAAAATTGATTAAAAATTTAAATTAAAATAAAATTTGAGTAAATACCAAACAAATGTGTATAATAAAAAAACTTACTTGTCTTCCTTATTTAAAATGGAAACATTAACGTTTCCTAAAATAATTTTTAAATAAGTTCCATTTTGTTTGGGTAGAGCCTGTTCAATTTCAAAAAGCTGTGCTTTCCGTTTTAAGATATTGGTTTTTAATTCATTTATTTCTTCAGGTGACTCACTTTTTTTGGATAAACTAAAAACCACTCTTTAGTGATTACAAATAAAAATATTTAATACAAAGATACTCTTTTATGGTCTTGGATATAATTCCAATTCTGTATTTTTGGTGGGTGATGTGTTCTTGGCATTTTTTCTGTTGACCTGATAATTCATCTAACTTCTGAAGGTAGGTTTTATTTGCCACCTGAAAAAGTTTATTTCATTAAAAGTCTGTAAAATAGGATTTTCCTTGACCAATGAAAGCAAGAAAGAGGCTTTTACAGACATGTAATAAACTCTTTAAAATTAATCCAAATTGGACATTTTAAACTTTATGTTAGGCGTGCAATGTAAAACTTCTTTTAACAAATCTCAATATTAACACTTCACAGGACTTATCCATAATTCAATTTACAATATAGCCAAATATTTTTCAGATGTCACTAAATTGGTGGTTAAAATGCATAGACATAACACAGTCTCTCATAAGAGTAAGAAAACAGGACTTAAGTAAGTGAAAGTGGTCATATTTTTGAGTGGAGTAATGCCTGATCCTATACAGGGTGTCCCAGAAGTCGCGCACTACCTTTAAGATGGATGATCTACAGTCCCAGTGGGGGATTTAACGGGCGGCAAATGCGCTGTTGCCGCCTGGGCCTTTTTTCTTAAATCCGCCACTGTACAGACCCCAAGGAATCACAGAAAATTGTTTAAAAAAATCTACCTTTGTTATTTAAAAAGGTTTATTGGGGAAAGTAATTTAAAATGCTACTAACGCATACTTATAATACTTTGAAGTTTAATTCTTAATCATCATGACAAACATGGAGCATCCAAACCCAACAAATTATTATATTATAATCAGTGAGTAATACTCACTAAAATGGATTGACTTGACACAAAATAATCAAGGTAAACCTATTATTTTAAAAACTTAATGTTTTCACTTTTTATCTTTTTAAATAATAGAAGTAGGATTTTTGAACAATTTTCTAGGGTTCCTGGGGGTCTGTAGATCATTCAAGGTGTTGGCGACTTCTGGGACACACTTTATACATATATTCTATATATACTATACTTGAGGCGTCTACTTGCAATAGTGGCTACATCCATATTTTATCAAAATTAATCAGTACAGTAGAAAACTATATTATAAGATGTGCTTTATAAAGTGATAAACTCAAATTATTTTAAAAGCGGTTAGATCCCACTAAAAAGTTTAAATTTTGGAATATTTTGCAAAAGTGGCTACATGCATTGTTTCAATAGCGGCTACTTCCAAATTACAGGTTTTTAACATCTGCAAAGAATCGCAGTCACCATATTTACACAACAGTGACAGTTTCACATTGAGGTGTTTCAGCTAGAGGTGTGCGATAGTTAAAAATTCGACTATCGATATTTTCAATATGATAGTTTTGTGCTATTGATACTATTGATATTACTATAGACAGCACGGAAAAAGATATTTGAAGTTAAAATAAGTAAAAAATATATTTAAAACAGATTATAAAAAAATATTTAAAACAACAAATTGTTGGGTGAAGTTACACCTTAAACAATGGAAAAACCATTATGGAATAAATTTTCAAGAAATTTATTTCCTAGAATATTACAAAAAAATACTAACTGACAATAAATTGTTTTCTGCATTTTCTGAAGTTGCCGTTTGTGAAACGACAGAAGAAACAGAACAACCTAGTATTTAAATAAATCTTTGTCTTGTTTTATCCTCTTATTCTTTTTGGAGTAATGTTTTCAGAACGCATCATTGTTTTTTTCTAAACTGATTTAAATTTTATTATTAAAGAATGTTAGTTACTAACCACATTAACTTTGTTAAATTTTTACATTATTCTTTTCCAAAATCGTCCAGATCCATATTTTTACTGCAAAATCGGCCGCATCCATACTTCAAGTTTGTATAACATCTTTACTATCAGTATAGGATTTCTAGATTTTTGCTCAAAGTAATATCTCATTAAAGGTACTATATCAAATTATTAAAAAAGAAAAAATCCTTCTGTGTTAAGAGTGGCAATATTCTTATCGATTTTTGAAATTATTAATCTTAAAATGGATGCAGCTGGTATTGCAAATAGACGCCTCACTTGATGGGTTTATTAATAACTATTTACTCGACGGAGTTTAAAGTTGTAGAACTTTAAACTTCGTAAAGTAAACTGTTTTTATTACATGTATTAACAGATAAAGAATGAAAATTTTTATAGATATCTGGAGAAAAATAAATTTCTTTAAAAATTTCATTTACGAGGTACTTACCTACTGTGTTGAAGATGGATATTTTTTATGTTCAAATGCAAAATGCCAGATACAATATTTTTTAAATTATAATGACCAAAAAGAGTATTCCATATGAATTAAAATAAATAAAATAGGTACCTATTCAATATTAAGCCAATTTTCCATGAAAATTATTCTTTTTAGTGACAGATTATAAAGAAATAATCGAATTTCTTTTACCTTATTAGACATGCAAACATCAGTGAGGTAAAATGTAAATATTTAATTATTATTTCCTAAAAATTACTATATAGTTCAATAAATTTCTAACCTCCAATTCTTTGAAATCTGTGTTTAACTCGTTCCATTCTTCCAATAAAGCTTCAATCATTTTTTATCCTTGTGCGTAAACCACAAAACTATTCGAGAACAATTTAATTGAAGATTCTAATTAAAAATTGAACACCACTCCACACTCATCGTTATTTTTAACTGATTTGAAGTCAGGCGAAAACAGTTTTATACTCCCCGATCACGGTTGGTAAACCTGATTATTGACTATCTGTCAATTTATCAAAATATAAACACGTGCGGTTCACATTTCGTTCAAAATGGTTAAACTAAGGAAACAGAGAAGAAGGAAAGTTTACCGACACAATGTTAATAGAAAAAGGCTTCGTAACAAAATCAACAACCCTGGATCTATTGGCTGGTAAGTTAACAGTACAATTTTCATGTAAAAATTAAAATTTTAACATAAATACTTTACAGTAAAGACGTAAAAGATGCTTGGGATCACAGTAAGTCAATACCCACAAACATGAAGGCTATGGGCTTGTCCTATAATCCAAATGACACAATTAAAATTCCTAACAACAAAAACAATTATAAAGCATCAATTATGTCAAATGAAGAATTTGAATGGCAAGAAGAAGATCTAGAAGAGGATCAGTTACCAAACAAAGCATTTGTTGTAGAGGCTTTAGAAGCTGATGCTAAAGCTCCAAGAGTAAAAAAATTCAGGTTACCCAACAGTGCCCTTGAATGGGTAAAATATTTATTAAAAAAGTATGGACATGATTATAAAGCTATGGCAAAAGACAGGAAAAATTATAATCAAGATACGTGGAAGCAAATAAGGCAAAAAGTTAGGACATTTAAAAAAATCCCTGAGCAATCTAGTGAATTTTTAAAGGAAATTGGTATGGAGAGTGAAGAAAATGTAGATATGTCAGATGATGAATTGTAATAATTTTAATAAATGTTTTTTATACATTATATTTTATTACTAAAACATAATTTGTATTGTGGGCAAAAGTAAAAAGAATACAGATCTTAAAGGTAAAAAACCACCATTTTCAAATAACTTTTTGACTTTTGACAGAAATTTTAAGGTTAATTTTTAAAATTCTAACCCAACATTTCGTTTATTATCTCGTAGTATTTTTCTATGGTATTCTTTGAAAGGGTTAACAATGAACCCTGGTAATATTATTTCTTCATTTTTAATTGGAGACAATTTAGAAGAAGTTTTATTTAAGGTATTTTTTTATACTTTTAAATTTTGTGATTAAATAGATACTTTTCAGACAGCCATTTACTTTGCAGAGAGAGGTTTAAATATTTGGTTTATTTCTCCTGAAACTATAAATAATGTTCCAGAGAAAATAAATACTCCAGAAAAAGATGTTTTAAGACTTATCACATTCTTGTAAGTAGTTTATAAACCATAGATATTTATACAGGCCACATTGAGTTTATAAATGTACCTACTAATAAAACCCTTAATACATCTCATGTCCTCAACTTTTCCTTTTTAAAATACAGCTTGTTTAAATTGGTTGACTTTGGCTTTTTATCACGACAAGGAATAACTATTATTTAATTTTAATATATAAAATATTTTTCCAATTATAGATATCTAGAAAACTATGAGGCCCTTTTACAACACCTAAATGGAGTTCACCTGTGGCATAAAAAACCAAATATGATTATATTGAATGGCTTTGAAAAATATTGCCATCTAAATGAAAATAAATACAATTCACTTTTAACTGCTTCAATTTGTGCATCAATTATTGAAAATGCTTCAGCTTGTTATATAGAATCCAAAACATTTGTGCTAGTAGCACTTCAAACTAACCCTCAATTCCACAAGAGACTAAAAGTCCTTATTGATATGTATTTTAATAAAGTTATTCAAATGAGTAATAGTGTAGAAAGTGAAATTATTGAGTTTTTTAAAGTTGAATAAATTTGTTTAATTAAACACCCAGTAGTAAATAAGTTCAATTTATTAATTAAAATTAACAAAATAGTTAAGTATATACATTAGTCTAAAACACACAATATATTGTATACATAAATACTTAAAAGATTAATACATTTTGTAAATAATTTAATTTCTAGTGTTAAGGCAGCTTATTAAATGGACATTGAAATTTAGACAACTTTGTATTTTAAAAACAAGTTGTACAAAACTCTTAGGGTTGACTTCAGATCTTGGTTGACTATATCTAAAAAATACGGTAATATAAGAATAAAATTAATAATTTTATCATAGGTATATTTTTTTACCTTCTGGTCTAGCTTTAGGTCTCTTTAAACCAACTTCCTCCATAAGTTCAAAGGCAAACCCAACATTATGTACTTTTTGTTCAAATTCATGAGGGGTCAGGTTGAAACTGTAATGGGGCACAAAAAATCCTTCCAACAGTCCCATAAGCATAATCAAATAAACACCATCATGAAATTGGCTTTCAATTTCTGTTACTTCAAAGTTCATTTTGTTTAAGTGTTTGTTAACAAATGTAACCAAAGACTAAAAATAGTTTTTATATATATTTTTTTTTAAATAAAAATGTTTTACCTTTTTAACAACTTGTAGTTTATCAGGTGCATGATCTATTAAAGTATCGAATGCATCTCTTTCACATCTCATTCCTACATCATCATAGGAACTTGTGAGAACCTCCTTTACCACTCTGTGAGTCAATTGATTATTTTTCTTTTGTACAATAGTAACATTAATGGACACATTTTCAGTTAGGCGTACAGGAGGCCTGAAGTGTCTTGCTAGAGCAACTAGAAGATGGATTATGGCAACAATGTTTTTGGAATGTATAGCTTCAACATTCCATTTGTTGTGTCCCAAACGTTGAATGCCCAAAACCTAAGTTCATTAATTATAACCTTTGAACAGTTCACAAAGACTAGATACAAAATAAGTTGACACAGAAAAAATAAAACTGCAGTGAGCTCTGCATTGCCCACAAGGCCAATTACAGTGGCAGACACGGAATTTTGAACGTCATAATTTGGTTGTCCATGCATAATAGTTATTTACGATATAAGTGGGATAAGAGCTTTATTAACGTACGCATGCGAAATTTGCCCAACGAGTGCGTAGCACGAGTTGGGCAATCGCAAAAGTACGTTAATAAAGCGTTATCACACGTATATTGTACAAATTTTTATCTACGCCTCTAAATGAAAAAATAAACGGTAATTATTTTTGTCAAAAACTTAATTTAGGGTTATTTTGACATTTTGACTTTTTTATTTGATTGGTTAAAAGCAGAGAAAAACGCGTGCGTTAATGAACTTCTTATCTCACTCAAAATGAGTGGGATAAGAAGTTCTTATCTCACTGGCGTAGATAAAAATTTAAATAGCAAAGGTACAATATTGACCATTTTTGCTTTCCCTGTCAAAAGGACGAGACTAGTGATTACCAGAAGTAAGGTTAGTTATCCATAAGTTTAGAGTTTGATGTCAATGGGATGATAGTCATTCAAAATTCTGTGTCCGCCACTGTACAATCAATACTTAGTATGACTTTTGCTATGTTTATATTGGTTTGTACTCCTTTCTCTAGTCTTTGTGGTATAGTTTGTAGGTAAATGTGTGAAATGTGTTTTTTTAATTTAAGTTTAAAGTGATACATTTTGCAGGTACTTAGTGAGTACTACTCACCTTATTAAAATGAGCCAAAACTACAGCCAGTTTCTGTTTTTGCCCTTCTTCAGACTGTGTAACTTCAGGCACATCCAACTTGTCTGCTGTCAACTTTTCAAGCAGCTTTTGTAATACTTGCCCATCATACAAATCTTCGGCAAGGTTTTGCACAATAATTCTTTGTGACGCCAATTCGTCATTTACCCATTCAATTAAAACATTAATCAGATCAATAAATCTGCGATCCTCGTAACTTTTAGGGTCAATAATCATTCGTTCTTCATTTTCATCTAAAAATTGTTTATAATAGGTTAATTTGGTAAGTTAAATTATGTGGGCAGTATTGTGCAATTTACCCAGATTGTAATCCTCTGGCGATATTCCTGCAAAAGCAGGCAATCCAGGGGAATCTATGGCATATTTTCCTTCTGCTTGCACTTCGAGAACTGTAAATATTAAGAATTTCTATTAGTAAACATAACCATATAAGGTAAATAATTAATAAGCTTTCCGGGTGATTATTACATCAAACTATTTATTTACCTTCTTTGATTTTCTTTTTACGCCCTAAAGTGCCTAATTTGTCCCATATTGACTCGTCTTTTTCCACTTTTGGGACATTTGGGCGAGGTGATTTTGGTCTTGAGGTCGCCATTTCTTCGTCTTTTGAAGAACCGCCCATTTGATCTGCATCTTCTTCTAAAGGTGTTTTCTTTTTTAATAATAATGCTGCAACCCAGATAACAATTAGACGCAGTACCAAAATTTTCAATACACTGATCGCCACAAAAATCGTAAGCAAGTAATTTTTTGAAACTAATTAAATTTATTATAATTCCAATAAAAACAGATTTTTACAATTAATTATATTACCTAGTAGGTATGCAAAGTTTTTTAAATTATGGCAAGCCGTTTACTTTTTAATCGCATAAGAAATAGGTATTAAATTAATACTATTAATAGGTACTAATAATAAAAATAATAATTTCACTGTAAAATAATACCTTCAAAATAATACATACCTCCACAATCCACACATCACACCTCTTTAATTATACATGCCAAAGTTAAAATTATTTTTTTAATATGTTTATAAATATGATTTTTTTGTGTGCAATAATAATATTTCTTATACCTACGATTAAAAAGTAAAACGGCGCACTGTGTCGTATTTGACCTGTTTAGTAGGGTGGGCCGAAAAACGTAAAAAAAAAAATATTTGAGATATTTATTTTTGGGTAGCAATAAAAAGTTACCTTATGTTAAAAGTAATTTATTAGAAAAAAATGTAGCGTACTAGCCCATTATTTAAGGGTCCCCCGGGGGCCCAAAATATTTTTTTTGTATGTTTTGACTGGGGTGGGAACAAAAAGTTACCTTATGTTAACAGTAATTCTAGAAAAAAAAATGAGCGTACTAGCCCAATATTTAAGGGTGCCCCGGAGGCCCAAAATATTTATTTTTATCATATTTTAATTGGGGTAACCACAAAAGTTACCTTATATTAACAGTAATTCTAAAAAAAAGATGAGCGTATTAGCCCAAAATTTAAGGGTGCCCTGGAGGCCCAAAATATATTTTTTGTTCATATTTTAATTGGGGTAACCACAAAAAGTAACCTCATGTTAACAGTATGTTTAGAAAAAAATAGCCATTCTAGCCCAATATTTAAGGGTGCCCTGGGGGGCCTAAATTTGTTTATATATATTTTAATTGAGGTGGCAACAAAAAGTTACCCCACGTATTATTGCATAGACAAACCAAATGCCGGTATCAGTCTAAGTTTTTTTTATTATTTTATTAAGACGCCTTTTGATGAAAAAAATTAGCAACTCTTAGCTTGATTTTATTAAATTTAAAAAAGATTTTGCGTTACTCTAAATTAATTAACACAACCACTATCGAAATAAATAAAGTCTTAAAAGAAGTAAATGCTTGGTCAGTTAATCATAGACTTCAGTTAAATGCCAAAAAGAGTCTTGTAATAAATATTGGTACAGTATATATGATAAATAAAAAACAATATAATTTTAATACCGAACATATAAATAATATAGAAATACCTCAGCAAGAAACAGCAAGAAATCTGGGTGTTATTTTTTATACAAACGCCATGTTACAAGACAACTTAGTTTGTGTTATATGAAGCTGAAATTACTATATTAATTTAAGTATGTTCTAAATTCTAACACCAAGTGCAAAATTGTTTCAACATTAATATACACCCTATTATAGACTATTGCATGCCAGTCTATTACTCATATCATACTGAAACATTTAAAAATAAACTCATGTATTAGATTCATATATTTAGTCGGAAAATTTGACCCAATTACTTCAATCTATTTGGAAAACAAGCATTTAAAAATAATTGATCCTTACAAGCAAAATTTTGGAAAATTAGTGCAGAAAGTAAATACCTAATAATTGCCTGAATATCTATTCAACAACTTTATTCAAAGATCTAATAAACACAATCTTGATTTAAGACACAATCTTTTTCAAATACCTAGTCACAAAACTTCAAAATCTAAGGATTCGTTTATAGACCTAATATACCTATCTATAGAACTTTTGAACAATAAAACATTCTTTAACATAATATTTAAATATCCAAACACATTTAATTTAGAGTACAAAAATTTGTTATTAACTGGTGTGATATGAAATTATAGGATTTAGTTTAATTAATATGTAATATGCAGAATAAAATAGATTTAATTTCTTAGTAGGTGGTATGGAAGAACGTCCTTACGAAAGCAGCCTTTTGTGTAATTAATTTTGTGTTTTACGCATTAAAGCATTTTTATTATTATTATTATTATTATTATTATTATTAATTAATTGGATATTTGCTCCTCGAGTTAGACTTGTTGTCATATAGGCCGGCAGGGCCGGCTCCAGGGTACGTGCAGCCGGGGCGGCAAAAATTGAAGGGCGGTAAAAATGAAAGAGCTTCACAAATCGAATAGCGGCAAAATTCGAAGGGCGGCAAAAATCGAAAGGAGCCCAAAAACTTATTCAATACAACACGATATAGGTTCCAAATTAGATACTTCCAATTTAATTTCAACGTTTGCTGAACAAAAAGCCAGAAGGCATTCCTTTTCTTAAACTTTTGTTTGTAAACAGATTTTTCTTATTTTTATTACTATAGTAAACTGACTATAGTCAGTTTAATAATGTTAGATAAAATAATTATTATTAGAATATATTACTGTTTTTTAGAATGCGATGATATTTTATTTATTTGTTATTAAATAATACTTTTTTGTTAATTTTATCTTCCCATTAATGCTACAACTGAATAACTCGAAATTTTACGAATCCAGTTCTACTAAATACTTCTATACCAATTTTAGAATATTGCATTTATAAATGTGTTTTTCCAGATATCTAATTGTAGCATTAAGGGGACGATATTATTTAGGTAGTTTTTTTTTAGAAATGATACCTAATTAATGGTCACTAAAAAGTAGGTTAGAGGGGCGGCAAAAATATTTTTGCACGGGGTACCAAAATGTCTGGAGCCGGGCCTGTAGGCCGGTAGAGATGTCCGCGCATCTATATATAACCATTTCTTGCTACCTCACAGCAAATTTTTAATGCAGCTTCTGTTACAAGCTTCACAAACTTTTTCACCGCCTGCGTGTAAAAGGGAAACTTGCCGAACCTTATATAGAAGTCGTCTGCTCGACTTATAAATATTTTTAGTTCTTTTATTTAAAAAAAACATTTCCAAATTTATAAACATTTTTAACCCTAGAATTTGCTAAACCGCCAAATTTTTTACGTCAAACTCTAATATGGGACATTTTTTTGTAAAAATATTGTTAACTTAAGGTAACTTTTTGTGGCTACCCCAATTAATATATAAAAAAAAAATATTGGGCCCCCGGGGCACCCTTAAATTTTGGGCTAGTACGCTAATTTTTTTTCTACAATTCTTGTTAACATAATGTAACTTTTTGTTGCCACCCCAAACAAAATATAAAAAAATAATATTTTGGGCGCCCAGGGGGGGCCTTAAATATTGGGCTAGTACGCAAATTTTTTTTTTACAAACTACTTTTGGCCTAAGGTAAATTTTTTTTGCTACCCCTAAATTGAATTCAAAAAATAATTTTTTCGGCCCACCCTACTGTTTAGGTGACCAAAAGTCGATTTCTGAAGTTGCCCTTACAGCAAAAAAATATACATAAAATTGATCATTATGCTTTTCTTGACAATGTACTATCGCTCACAAAAAAAACTCATACAGCATAAAAATCTAGTGTTCCTGATTTTCTATCATTTCGTTGGAGCACGGTCTTATATACAGGTCCTGCAACTTTAAGCTTCGAGGTGGCTTCCTTAACGTGCCAAGCCGCTAGGTGGCGCTAAGATCGAAGGGGTAAAGTCAATTAAACTACTACTTAGTTAAATGTGGAACTACTGCATAACCATAACCTAACTTTTTAAATTCTTTTTCTATGTTTTGTTTACATTTTCAAAAATTTAATATTTTTGAGTTTGTTTCGGATAATTTACGTTAACAAAATAGGACAACAAAGTCTATACTCTATGCACAAAGTCCTCGGCCGTCACATGCCCAGACCAAACATGTACATAAGTAAAACATGTTAATGTATAAAATACATACGTATATCATATATATGTTACGGCTAATGTGTATAAACATGGATAGTTTATAAAGTAGCTGGGTAGTTTATAAACTAGCCAAACTGTCAGCTATTTTAATTGAAAACGTATTTTTAACTAAATTAGCGGCTAGTTTGTAAACCAACCAAGGGTCTTGGCTAATTTACTTGAAATTATTTAGGAATAGCTGGATAATTTGTAAACTATCCAATTCAATTTGGCTACCCTGTTGAAAAACCCGCATAAAAACTTATAAAAGTTCTATAATATTTAATAAGGATGTATGCGGTTTCTTAGTTTCTATAAGGTTTTGTCTAATTGCTCATAAGGGTTTTATCAGAATTCTATCAGTTTTTATAAGAAATAGTTTTATGAGCCGTGACTTATAAAACTTTTATTAGTTTTTATAAGACTTTACGAGGTACAAATTTCTATAAGAAATTCCAACTAAAATTTTGAAGTGAATTTATAAGATTTTATGTGCACAAGACTTTTATCAGTTTTAATGTGGTTCCTATTTGATAATTTTTTATGAGATTTTATGTGACTCTATGAGGGATGTAAGTTTATTGGTTTGTATAAGGCCTTAACTATTAAATGTCTATAAGAAGCTATAAGCATATATGAGAAATGAATTTTATCGGATTTTATTGTTTTTTTATATCTAACTTTTATAAGTTTTTATAAGACTTTATATGGTAGGTGCAAATGTCTATAAGGAATTCCAGCTAAAATGTTAAAGAGTACTTATAAGACTTTATGTGCACATGGCTTTTATCAGTTTCAGTATGGTCCCTATTTGATCATTGTTTATGAGTGTTTATGAGACTCTATGAGGGATGTAAGTTTATTGGTTTGTATAAGGCCTTACCTATTATATGTCTATAAAAAGGTATAAGTAATTATAAGAAAATAATTTTATCGGATTTTATTGTTTTTTTACATCTATATAAGTTTTTATAAGACTTTATGTGGTACAGTACTTATAAGATTTTATGTGCACATGGCTTTTATCAGTTTCAGTATGGTCCCGATTTGATCATTGTTTATGAGTGTTTATGAGACTATATAAGGGATGTAAGTTTATT